CTGATTAATTTTTGATCCACTTTCAGACCTTAGAGCAATAGACAATTACTTCTGTGAAATGAGTAATTCACAGCATGAGACTTTACTTGATAACACCAGCAGATTTAAGCTGGGCCTGATTTTTTGGATAGGCCTCCAACTTTTTTTAACACACCTAATCTTTCCCCCAGTACTAATTCCTATTTAGTATATTCAGTTCCAGGTGTTCTTCCAAATGCTTTGAAAGGGAAAATACAATGAAGATTCTTTTATGTATGCTCATTTTTCACTAACTATATTTTAAAAGACAATTGAAATATTAGTTGTTAACAAAGTCAAGTATGGAAATGTAGCTCAGTAGCTTATGTTGAATTTTTTATATTCATTAAAATGTTGTGAATTTCCCTCTGAAATTAATTAGGATTATTGCACTGGCACAGGAATGTCTCTATATAGTGAACGCTTACAGTACAGAGCTAAAATTAATTATTTTCCGAGGGTAAATATCAAGATTTTAATGACACATACTGTAACTGCCAACTAAGAGGTTTTCCATGGGATAATTTTCCAAATGAGCCAGAGATCTTGCAGCTACTTGAAGGGAAGCTTATGTGTATTCTGCTGAATTTTGGCACTTACATAAGATCTACATTGAAAGCCAGATTTATTCACTCTTACACATATTGAATAATATCTTGTTTTACACTTGTTACCTTTGACTTCTTGAGATCTCATTTGAAAAAGAATATTATTAGACTGATAATTTAGGTTTATGGAAAGTTTTGGAATACTTTGTGACTGTGTATTACTGTTTTAAAATACATGTAGGCCAGCTGAAAAATATTTTACTTTTAAAGACACACAGCTCAACAAACTGAACAGATGATTGCATGTATGTTAACTGGCTCTGCTACAAAAGATGTATCTATAGAAGGATAAACTATAGCATGTAAACTATATGCAAACAGAATGATTTCTTATTACTTTCTTCAAACTGTAGAATGTTCATTTTCCTGTAAATTCCACGCAGGTTACTATATCAGATAGCTTAAAGAATTCAAGACAGACTGTTTTGGTCTGTGAGCAAACATGATGCAAGTTAATGTCAGCTACAGACACTAGAAGAAAACTTTCCTTTTAAACAATAACATGGATAGGTCACAAGTATATCAGTCTTGGAGTCCTAAGTGCAAAAATGTCCATGATAAGCATGAAGGTGAATAAGGATGCTCTACACACCCTTGTCTACTCCCTTCTGCTCCTTCCATTTCCCCTTACTTTCCCACACATCCTGAATATTCTTGAAACTACATATTGCCACCATGTTTAATGGCTAGCAGTCTGTAGAGTGGATTATACAGGGGACTTTCATGTGGTTTACTATTTTTAAATGTAACAGTATAGCAAACACTGAAAAAAAAATTGCAATGACACCTGCATTCTTAGGATGCACTATGGGACCAGTAGCATCTAGGCAGAGATGTGATTTTGGTCTCCATTCAGTACAAAGACATATCTGACAGAACACACCAACTAAGAGATAGATGTTTGAATTTCATCATAGTACTGATTGTACCCTACCACTGTTTCAAACTAATCTCACTGAGAGGCCTGGATGTAACACTGATACGCTTGGAAGTATGAGGGCTGTAAGTGTTGTTGCTTTTCAGAGCTATTTATCGTTCTGCTTCTTACAGCTCTCATTCTAAATGCACTCTTGGACCACTGAAGGCATGAGTTCCCAGTAGCAGAGCAAATTCTGAATTTTTAAATATTTTTGCAAACTTTAAGAGAACTGGTTATTCTTGTATCTCCAGGCAAGACTCTGGTAGAATACTCAGTGCCAAGGAAAAAAAGAAACCAATTTGAAATGTTTTCTATAGCAGAAAGGAGTGAAATAAATTAATATGCCAAATGCAGACTTGCTTGAAACATCTGGAACTAAGTAGTTTTCAAAGTTTTCAATTATCACTTACAGTACATGAAGTTTATTAGGAGAAGCTGTTTGCACAAAAATGCTCTATTGCTTTTTATTTTGGGAGTATTTTTACCTAAGGCTTGCATACAATTTACTGTATTTCATGCTTATTTTCTGTAATAGTTCACTTCCAAATATTTATGCCACTGTCTTAAGGATGATGTAAATGCATGCAGTAATTATAAATATATCTGAATTGCCAGGATACAGTTATAAAATAAAAACTTGAGAGACACTTCTCTCATCTGCTTCTGAATGAAAAGAAAAAACAAGATTGTGGAGAAGACAGAGATTTCCCCAGATCGTTACTCTTCCCTCTAGAATCCCACCAAACAGGCTTTGGTCCCTGTTGGCTTTATCAGCAGTCCCCAGTGATTTCATCTGTAACTTGTCTGACCTACACCAAATGAAGTTCTGCCCTGTATTTTAAGATGTATTTTAAAACATGCTGTTCCTCCTTCAAAAATACATCTACTTGTATGTGGCTTAGAAACAGAAACTTTTACTATGAACTATGGGGCACTTCCTTTATAAGAGAGGAAGATTATAATACTGCTGAGTGGCTAATTCTTTTTTATGAGAGACATTAGAAATGTTAACTCTGATCATACTGCTACTTTCCTGCATGTATTTGATTTCTATCTAAAACTACATGCATAGACAACCCATCCCACACACTACTGATTTTTTAAATAAATTTTTTTATTTTTTCAATTATGAATCACATACTTCATCTTCTCCAATTAACATGTAAGAAATTATTTGCACAATGTTATCTTTTCCTGCGTAAGTTCCTTCATTTTATGAGATCTTTTAGTTCTTCACTATAAATCAAGCAAATATATGAACAGTTTCAAGCTGAAAATCACCTTTCTTAGCTAAAGAGAAATGATGAGAATAATTCACTTCTGTGCCTTTTGACATTTGCAGATATTTTACATAAAAATCCTTGCTAATATCTACAAATACAACTGTTCTTTCATTCTTACGTTCTAAATAAGGCTTTGGAAAAGGTCTAAAAGGTGTGTCATGGGTACAGGATTGAACTGTGGCTGATAAACTGGTGAAAGTGCTCCCTCCACTTCTGACCCATGGAAGTGTTAGAATTACACTTAACCGTGCTGAAGGAAACAGCCTGGGATTTCTGTACCAAAATGTTTTATAACTACCAGAATCGTCTCCTATTTTCATCTAACAAAATATTTTCTGTAGTTTCCCATGGCTATAGCAGTTGCTGTCTTAATCCTTTTTTTTTTTTTTCTGACGTGACACCAGGGGAGGCAGAAGCAGTACTCTGCATAACAGGCAATGAACCAGCCACTGATTTGCAAGGATTTTTGAAGGCTGTTTTGTGTCAATGGCTATTACTAGGTTTTAATTTTCCTATGAAGTAATAGTTTTACAGTCTTAAATATCAAGAAAGAGAACGAGATGGAAGATTATTTGCCTTTAAATATAGCTTTAAGATCATCCACAGGTTATAGGAAGGATAAGGAGATACACTATGAAGTCCTTTGCCCCGGGCTAAAGGAAGATCAGGCTGTTTGCAGTCTATCAATCTGTCACTGGTCATAGTAGAAACAAGTTACTGCATACTTGATTCTAAGTATGAGTGAATTAATCAAAGGACTTCAGATCCTCAGAGGAAATTGCTGTGTGAGTACATAGATAAAATTTGTCGGTTTCTACCCTACTTTATGTTACATACTGTGGTAGATAGAACATGCTATTTCTAAAGTGACTGAATACATGGTGGAATTCAGTCTCTCCTTGACCTCCAGAGTACATGACAGACCTTGATTAATATATGTTAAAGCATTTTGTGAGTATTGAGTGTAAACCATTCTGTACAGTGAATGTAACCTATTAGATTTGTTGTAACTGCAATGATAAGCCTGTATGTGTTAAATTCATGGTTATTTTATCACACAGATCATACACGTTGAGTTCAATATAGACATTGCAATCTGAGGTAAATTGTGTCTAGATAAAGAGGGAAGATATTTTTAAAAAAATTTATATAATTTTTAAAGAAACCATTTTCTTTACAAGATTTCAAAGAAGTAGCTTTTATAATATTTAATACTGCAGAGCTACTGCAGCAAAGACTGCATCAAACTGAGTTTTTGCCACTGACACAAAAAGTCTTTGAGCCCTTTAAATTACTCTAAGTATAAAAACTTAGAGCTGGTGAAAAAAATAATAATTTCTGAATCTGCACTGTCAAATTCCTGACTCTTAGCAGGACTTTCAGTCTGTGAACACCCTCTGGGCACCCTGTGATTCTCTTGGCAGTGCTTGCTTGCAGATCATGGTCACTACCTTCTTGTAGTTGCAGTGGTGCAACTACGGTTGCAGTTGCTCAGTTTGTCCAAACAGGGAAACTGAAAAGCAAGGAAAGCTTAATACTAGGACTTTTTTAAAAACATGAGTCCCATTGACAGGTTTGTAAGCCCTTGTTGGAAAGGCTCTTTCTTTTGAGAAGTACTGAGCATGTAGCAGCTCCACTGAAGAGAACAGAATCTTATCTTTGGTCAACAGCTGCTTTTTATTTTGAAAAGCAAGCTTTTTAGGAGCCAAATCTGGGATACTCAAAACACTAATACTGCACTTCTAGTGCCTCTGTACACTCAGAGTCTGATGTTACTGTAAAGCCAGCTTCATCTTTCCCAGAAGCTCAGAAGGATTTCACCCAGTATTTTAGATTTACTTGACTTCAAGCCATGATCAAACCCCCTGATTTCCCTGAGGAAAGAGGGCAGGAAGTGAAACCTGGAGAGCCTCTAGCTCTCACGTATATGACCCTGTGGGTAACAGCTGACTTCAGCTCTGTATTTTGTTTCGCCAATCTCTGATATAAAAATACTAGCTGCCCTTTCAAGGGCTTTTTGGGATTCCGGCTGCACCATGACAAACTAAAAGGCATCCAGATACCGAGATAGAAGACACTATATCTGTATAAGGAAATATTAGCATTTTAACTAGAACTTAATTATGATTAAATGTTTTGTTTTAATAAAGAACAATCTTTCTCTCTGAGCAGGTGTACTGAGGAAGGCTGGTATCTGTTCACAGACAGCTCGAATGGAGAATTTGGTCACACAGCTGACATTGCTACTCCAGTCATCTCCCTTACAGGGCCCAAATGCAAGATCATATTCTGGAACCACATGAATGGTTCAACAATAGGTTCTCTGGAGGTATGGAGATGTTCTTTGTTTTGGGTTGTCTGAGTTTTTTAATGCCTGAAATTGCTGTGAGAAAGTTCATGCATGGTCATTTAGTTTTGTTAAAACCTAGGCTGCTAATAAATGAAAACGAACAGTTACTAACACTCCACTGCTCTCAATATGTTGTGATCTGAAGGAAGCATTAGCTAGAGTAAGCTGGGGAAAATGTAACTTTCTACAACAATCAAAAATTATGACCTTTACAAACATACCATGGTTGGAACTTCCATACCAGAAAAAGTCTTGTATGGCACAATACCGTTTGACACCGAAAAGCATCAGTAGGTATTTGGACATCAAGGTCTTTGGCTGAATATGGGAGCATGAAAAAAAGAAGTAATTGTATTAAAATTTGCTGTAAAGCTTTGTTGAAGCAGCTTATTCCTCAGAAAGTTTAACATATAACTTTCAGAGGTTAATTATATTAACGTAAGCAGCATTGAAATATTTCTAGGTCATAACTGTGACAAACTTTCTTACCATAACCTTTTCTTCATTCCAGTTAAAATAAAAGTACATCTTTAAAGGAAATGTAACTCGTTCAGCAGCTTGTAGATCAAATGAGTCACTGCAAAGTGAATGAATGAAACAGCAATGTTGTTCTCAACAATTTTTTTTTTTTTGCCACACATCTGAGTAACTCTATTGAGATTTCCCGTGAGTGTGACACAATAACTACAGCATCAGAAATGTTTTGAAAAAAAACCCTCAGGATAAGTTACCCACTCACCTGTGCATTCATTATTAGATTGAGTGTGGTCAATGTGTGTGAATTCAATTGTACAAATAAATTCTCCCTAGCTTGGTTACTCTGGATAACAAAAAACAATTATAATGCAAAGCTGATAGAATTCAACTGTTTTGAAGTTGAAATTAAAATGTATGTTGACATTAGAACTGAAATCTAAGATGCGGTGTCCTTCACCCCATGCCTGTGACTTGCTAGATGTTCAGAGGAAGCATGTTTTGTGTTTTTTTTCTTAAACATCTTTTTTTAAGATATCACTGAATTTCTCCTAAGTGAGCAAAGATCTTGCTAGGCTGCTTGGCAAGTAGTCAAATTTTAATTCGTCAGAACTAATGGGAAATCAGGCTGTAAAGATGGTTTGTCCTCAGTTTTAAGACTTGGGACGTATTAATTTGCTTTGAGACTTCTTTTCATTTAGTCCAGAGTCCAGGGCTTCTTTAGAGTGTAGGAACCCACATTAGTTGGAATCAGTTCCAAAGAGCATTTTGCAGGTATTAACAGCAAATTTTATAGAGCCATGTCCACTGCTACCACCACAGAAGGCCAATCTATACAGATTTTGTTTTTTCTCAGTTTCAACACAAATGACTACAACTTGTCTCTATTTCATAACTGATTTCCACCCCCCTCCCCCCTAGCTGAATTGATTTTAAGATGTACCAAAGGGAAACCACAAAATCTTTGCATTTTAAACAGCGTAAATAATTACCTGGTTTCAAATGGTTAATTAAGCAGTTAAAAATCAATGTAGGAATAACTCAGAGTATAAAATTCTTAGCTAATTTCTCATTATTTTCTTTTAAAGGTTCTAAGTATTAGACTCATGTGAATCTTTTCTGTGCTTAAAATCGCTAAAGGCTTTTTATCCATCTCTTCTTCTTAGACTACCACATTTTTATTTAACTTAAAAGTTGCAATTTTTACATGTAAGTTTGCATTCATGCTGTCAAATGTCATGTAAGACATGTCAAAGTCTTTCCTGCTCTTTGCATAAATCGCTGTCATCTTGTGTTTCTATGACTTTCCTAATCATTGATCAGCTGTCGCTGTACCATGCAATCTTGGTTTGAATATTTGTTGGAACCATTTTTTTCTAGTTTCCACCCTCTGACTTGGCATGGGTAACTCTACCAAACTATTAGATGTGATTTTTCACTAACTTGCCATGTAATCAAAGCTCATAGGGCTTCAAAGTGCATTAAAACCCAGGGAAGCCTTGGATTTTGATAGCGCATAAATTTATGGGCATATTTAACTCTAAAATTATAGCCTTTAGCGTGATACGACAGAATATATGGATTTCTGATTTATAATTTAGTGGGAAATTTACAATGTATGTAAAAACACCTGTATGGGTCTACACAGTCACACGCATTTATATCTTTATTCATATAAATATATAGTTATATGTGAATGTAAGAAAAACCCTTTCTTATTCAGCATCTTTTATTCTCTCAAATAATATATGTGATCCCTATTTGTCTCTAATTTATTTTTTTTCCCCTTAAAATTCATGTCTTCTGTGGGCAGTTCTTCTTGTCTATAAAGACAGGTGTCACTTTGTTTTTCTATTCGATACAATACATTACATCTGTTCCTTTTATTCCTCCGGAATGAAAGCTCTTCAGTGTGAGGATCTGCTATTTGCTTGGCAGAACTTACCTTTTCTGCAATGTCATATCCACTCATTGGACTGCATAAATTAAAAAAAACACAACTTTTTTTTCATTAAGATGAAAAATGTTTGGTCTGCTCTAAGCAGATTACACAGAGTAGCAATAAATCCTTGAATGCAGAAGTGGTTCAGACAATTGGTGAACTGATATCTAGCTATGTGATTACTGGCTGGAGACACAGCTTGACACACTTCATCAAACACCCATCTTGTCGTTACCGTCAGCTCAGTTAAATTTGGATGCCCAAGTGGTTGGAGCAAAGCATATTTGAGACTGTGCTCATGTCGAAAAGTGTCAGCTTTCCCCAGTTCAGTGACTATTCACAGGGGTAAGGGTATTTACAAGTCCTTAATTGGCCAAATAGATTAAATTTGATCTTTAAAAGGAACGAGCAAGTTTTTATGTGTAGAGGAAAAAACTAATATATTTTTCAGTAACTCTTGTTGTTAGTGCTGTTTCCATGTTTTATGAATGCGTCTCGACTGTGGTGGGTTGACCGTGACTGGATGCCAGATGCCCAGCAAAGCTGCTTTATCACTCCCCCTCCTCAGCTGGACAGAGCAGAGAAAATACAGCGAAAGGCTCGTGGGTGGACATAAGGACAGGGAGATCAATCAGCAATTACCGTCACGGGTAAAACAGACTCGAGTTGGGAAAAGAGTTTAATTTATTACCAATCATATCAGAATAGGATAATGAGAAAGAAAAACTAAGACTTAAACCACATTCCCCCCACCCCTCCCTTATTCCCAGGCTTAACTTTACTCCTCAGTTCTCTCCCTCCTCCCCCTGAGTGGCTCAGGAGGACAGTGAATGGGAGTTGCAGTCAGTTCATCACACGTTGTCTCTGCTGCTCCTTTCTCCTCAGAGGGAGGACTACTCACAC